TTCACCAACCAACCAACCATTCAACCAACCAACCATTCACCAACCAACCAACCATTCAACCAACCAACCATTCACCAACCAACCAACCAACCAACCAGCCACCAACCAACCAACCAACCAACCAACCAACCAACCCTCCTGAATAAAGTCAGCAGCATTTGAGGCGTGTTTAGGGATCAATTCATATTTAACTCAAATTCGTTTCGATCAGTATAGAAAGGTAGGCGTGGCCTAAATCTGGCCAGAGTGCTCCCGATCGTCATCCGAACCTGGTCGGGAGGTGTTCGGGAACAGATTCGGGGAGAGGTCGTGACTGTGTGACAGGGGCTGAAGTCAACTGCATATCTGCTGCTTGTCGTGAAGTGTGAAGTAGAGATGTGATTGTGTGGTGCACTTGTAGCATGCAGAGATAGATTAGGTCGATATTGACTCAGAATCAGTGGCGCATGTATCTGTCTGGCATTCACTCTCCGTGCTGGTATGGCCGTGCGTGTAATAGATAAATAATAATAATAAATAATAAATAAATGTGTATTTTGATAGGGCGGTAGGTTCCATGGCCACCGTGTCAATGACTGACCAAATGAAGCATTTCTTTTTTGTACGGCACTTTAACAAATTCTACACCTTCGTTGGACCTAAATCGTGTGTGTGTGTGTGTGTGTGTGTGTGTGTGTGTGTGTGTGTGTGTGTGTGTTGTTGTGTGTGTGTGTGTTGTTGTTCGTTGTGTGTGTGTGTGTGTGTGTGTGTGTGTGTGTGTGTGTGTTCGGTTAAGGTCCTCCTCGTGGAACGAGGTGCCACTCAATATGTCCTTCCGGCCCTCTGACCAACCTCCTCTTCTATCACTTTCTTGAGTGTCGGGCTCGGTCGACAAAATCTTAAGCATTCTTAACAACGATAGTCTCAACGATAGTCTTTTGAGGCTAATTGTGGATCTAAATAAAACAAAAAAAACTCACAAAATGACAGACAGCAAATATAACATTGGTAGCAAACTGTTTCATTGTTACTGTCTTGTTCCAGTTGTTGTCTCCCAAAGGCAAAGTTCACACATTTCGAGTGAATTGTTACCAAGTAAACGTCATATTCCATCAGAAGGACATTGAGTGCAATACTAAGTAATAAAACTCCACATTTTCTACTGGTACATCGTCTACCTCTGTGACAGAGCCAACTTTTCGAAATACTTTTTGTTTTCCAAACATTTAAGAAACAAAACTATCATCCCCAGTGTTGCCTGCTTTTTACCAAGTAATCTTCAATATATGATTCTGTCATCAAAAGGACATTGAGCCTGCACAATGTATCTTAATGCGTAACAATAATGACAAAAGCAATGAAATATGCATATTTTTTGGCACAGCATCTACTTCTGTGACATAATCACCATTTGCAGACTTGCTGTCTCCCCAAAATTCAAGAAAACAGCCTTAATCTTGACATCTTTTCATCAACTTTGACTCTGCCAACAAGAAGGACATTGCATTGTGTGCATTCAGATGAATATGAAATGATAACAGTAATAAACCTACTAGTATGCATACTCTATTGGTACATCGTCTACCTCTGTGACAGAGCCAACCTTTCGAAATACTTTTTGTCTTCCAAACATTTAAGAAACAAAACTATCACCCCCAGTGTTGCCTGCTTTTTACCAAGTAACCTTCAATATATATTTCTGTCATCAAAAGGACATTGTGCCTCTACAATGTATCTTAATGCGTAACAATAATGATAAAAGCAATGAAATATGCATATTCTTTTGGGACAACATCTACTTCTGTGATATAATCGCCATTTGCAGACTTGCTGTCTCCCTAAAATTCAAGAAAACTCGGTCCTAATCTTGCCCACATTTCATCAACTTTGACTCTGACAACAAGAAGGCCATTGTGTGCATTCATATGAATTTAAAATGATAACAGTAATAAACAGATGCATGTTCTATTGGCACATCGTCTACCTCTATGACAGAGTTATCATTCCTAGATTTGCTATCTTCTAAAAAGTAAAAAGAATTCAACCTGAATCTTTCTAACCTTTCACCAGGTAAACTTTGATTCTGTCATCAGAGGACATTGCGTGCCTGTATCTGAAATATGAAACGATAAAAGTAATAACGTTAAACCTTTACATATTCTATTGGCACAGCGTCTACGACAGAATCACGATTCCTAATCCTGCTATCTTCCAAATGTTAAGGAAAACTTACATCTCAATTTTGCCCTCATCTTAATCAAGTAAGCTTGATATGATTCTGCCATAAGAAGGACATTAATTGTGTGCCTTGACTAAATACGTCATAATAAGTAATAAAACTATGCATGTTCTATTGGCACAGTGTTTACTTCTATCAGACATAACCACTTTTCATGACTTGCACTGTACAGTACGGCTTCATTCCATTCAGTATTTCTACTGTGTAGATTAAACGTTTAGGAACATTTGGGGGAAATGTTAATCTAAACCAATGCCATAATTCCCGGGCTAAAGTTTTACTAGTTAGGTTGACTGCGGATGGTCAAAGAGCCGTTGTACAGTCGTATGGTAAGATTCCCGCCTGTCGCCTAGGGACGTCCTAAAACATTAAAAAACAAAAAACAAAACAATCGGAACTAGAAAGGTAACAATTGCAAAGCAAATGCATAATATTGTACCTTCGCATATGGTCTGCTCTGTTGATTCTTACTCAAACACGTTCACATATATGGTGACAGGAGTCTAAATCCTTCCTACTGTAAAATTCTAACATTATGTAACCCAACACTAGTTACCATGGTGAGAATCAGTATGGTTCAGGTCATTGACCCGGTCAAAGGTCTGTTTTTGGAACGGAAGAAGAAGAAATCATATCTTTCCCTTCGATTAAACATAATTATCAGGGGTGAGCTGTGGAATATAGACATAGTTTGCGATAGGAGCTATGATGGTCTGCGCCTTGTTATGATGTGAAGTTAAGCTGTGCGATGTTCACTGCATAAAATATATAGAATATAAAACTACTGGAGACTGATATACGAAGGCCAACAAGTTCCGTTACTTCTGTATTATTTGACTTTCCATGCCTCTTTGATTTGATTATTTATATTTCTTTCCATTGATATGCAAACTCCACTTTTAGTTATTTACTTTTAAGTTGACATACCTTTTGACTATCTACCATTATGATTTGATATATGAACGATTATAATTACTTCTATGTTACCTTATTTCATTTTATTGTTGATGAGTTAGTTACAATTTCGTCTTGTTCACGATAAGTTTATCTATTTCTAGCTGACCTTTGTTAGTTCATCTTTAATCTTTTGTTATAATTATAATGTCATGTAGTTTTGTTGGGGTTATCCCCCCAGGAATCTTTGACAACCGCCAATAGGCGACATGTATTTCCTGGTTAAATAAATAAACAAACAAACAAACAATAGTACCGATACAATAAGTACCTGGAGCAGTCTGGCATATGAAGCGAAACCGCATGCGGCAGTCGTTGTCACTCCACTTGTCTCTCAGGACTACGGCGTAGAGGACGCAATCTTGGCCGCCCCCATAGTTGTTCGGTTCTCCCGGAGCCCAGGAGTTGTACGTCCCAAGAGCAGAATCGTCCACCCACTCAAACTTTCCCTCTTCGCGCTGATCGTGCAGGCCGAACCAGAAGCTCCAACCGTCGCCTAAGGACTTGTACAGGGAGACCAGGAAGGCGTTGGTCTCGGCGTCTCGGGGCATGGCGAGGGTGCCGCTGTCTGCAAGACAGGCCACCGCCGCCGCATTGAAGGACTTGCGTGTGTTGAAGGCCTTGTAGCAGGTTCCACGCCGCAGAGTGTAACCTTCGGGACAAGGTGCTGGACAACAAATATTGTATCAGCAACAGACGAAGAATAGGTCATATTGAAAATCATGACATACGAAGCATATGCTTCACGATAGCAGCTTCATAAACAACAAGTAAAATCTGAGATTTTATACCTCCGGGCTTTTTATTGTATATTTTTATATGTTGTTTACAACAACAATTGTTGCGCGCCGCAGGACTAGGGTTTTAAACAAAGAATTTATCGAGACCGGACACCCCTTGGTGCGAAGGGTCACCTTCGTGGACGAGACCAACAATACCTAATACACGCCAAAGGTCAACGGTCGCGACCACTTTCACGCTCAAAGGGGTGTTCTGGAGCCACCTAAAGGCACCATTTTCACGCCCGGGCGCCCGAAAACACATACACAATAAAAACAAAAGAACTTGCATTATCTGCAGCCCAAAAGCAAAACATATACCGAGTCTCAAAAGAATCCGTCCACCCAAACGCGAGAAACAGCTGCGAACATGAAAATCTAAATCTCTCACAAAACCCTTCCGCGGAAGGATGTCTCCTCCCCCGGAGCAAGGACATTATACACCCCCGGAGGTAATAAATCTACCCTCGGGGATGTATTCGATAAACATTAAATGCTGTGTTCTGAACCCGAGATCCCCCTCCCCCTACAAACCCTCATATGTGATGTAATAGTTACCCGTATTAGCTGTTTTGACTAAATGCTGGTGGCAAATAGACCAACATATATAGCAAACATAGCAGCTGGAAACATATTCAAAATTACGTAAAGCCTTCTCAATCTCGTGAAGACACTGCTCCAGGGCGGCGGTTCGGCTGCGCTCGTTGTCCAGGTCACGTTTCAGGGCGTCTTGGACGCGTTTCAAGCCGTCAACAGTTGCGGACATGTCGTCTTGGTCGCGTTTCAAGCCGTCAACAGTGGTGGACAGTTGGCGCGTGTCGTCTTGGTCCCGTTTCCAGCCGTCAACAGTGCTGGACAATTGGCGCATCCCGTCTTGCTCGCGTTTCAGGACTTCAACAGTATTCGACAATTGAGAGATTTCCTACACCAGAACACCAGAATATCAAACGTAAGCGAAAGAGTTACAGCACAGTTTTTGTATACTCTTAAAAATCAGAATGAGAATCAGAAACATAGCTGGACAACATGCTTTGTGGTACAAGAACATCGACAATTGAGATATTTCCTACAAATCTGTATAGCGTTTGTCTTACCGAACGTAAGAAACAAACTTACGAAAGACAGCAGCAAAGTCATTTTGTGCCATCTTAAAGAAAAACAGAATGAGAATCAGGCAAAGTTTGACAACAGGCTTTATGGTACAAGGCTGTTACCTGTTTGTTGCTGAACGTGAGAGGGGCGAGTCCCACGGCACCCAGGCTCAGTAGCACGGCGATGCCGGCGGCCAGACTGCTGCGGCGGGCATAGAGGAAGCTACAGACACCCCGGCGGCCGCTCGCTCCACCCGGATACGCGCCGTCTGGTAGGAAAATTTAAGATATACTTCGCTCACAAAATGAATATATTAATGAATGAATATACAATTTAAATGCCACATCAGCAAAAACATTTAACCATTAATTCATTAATTAATTAATCACTAAAATGACCTTCTCATTTACATAATTTTCGTAAAGTTTCAGCTAACTTAAAATTCCAATAATGTAGCACCAAGTATTATATAAACACTATCATTTTCTCATTAATTGTGCAAATAAGGCGTTTATTCGCAAAATTAGTGTCTGTCAATGTTTCACCTGCCATACATTACATACTAGTATGCCACTATGTAAAAGGTCCAGATAAAGAGTTTGTACAGATTGTCAGCAATCTTGTTTGTACAAACCTTGTTTGTACAGATTTTCAAGATGGCGCCGGGGAGGGCTTAGTGATGTTTTCAGCTCCCCGCTTATCACCGCGAGTTTCTCCTGTATGATATTTGAGCCTCACTGTTGACCACTATGCCGACTTGTACGACAACCCGCGAACTCAAGCGTGTCTCCGGACTCGTGGATGCCCAACTCCGAACAGGTTTTGACAAAATGAAAGAGGAATTCTTAGTAATAGACGCTGTCAAGCGAGAAATTATCGACGCCATTAAAGCCGGGGTGAGAGCTGTGCTCGATGAACTGAAATTGTCTATGAACTCTGAGCTGGATGTCTGGAAACGTACTATCGACAAGAGGTTGAGACGATCGAGAAGTTGAATGCTCGACTGGCTGAAGTTGAAGACAACGCCAACGCAGTCCTTTTTTTTTATTCCAACATGTAATCACCAGACGTGGTGAAGGCACACTCAAGTTTCTTCAACTTATATTAATGCCGCCACCAACACAGGGGACAAGTACATGACAGGACAATACTCATTTTCAGAAGTGAGGAAAGTCGTGTAAAGTGCCTTTCCCAAGGGCACAAGATCGGTGGCATGGCAGGACTCGAAGCCCGTTGTTGGTGGAACAGTGAACCTTTGACGACGTACCAAATGCTCACCGGTGCGAGAACGTTCGCGTACCCTGCTGGTGACATTTACATGCAGAACGTACAGTAAAGAATGAAGGGATTTTTGGCTGTCAAATTTCCCCATACGGCAAAGTATACAATAGTCAATAGTAGTCATACGAGTATACCCTCTCTATAGGTTACTTTTCGTCTGATTGTACCAATATCCTCTGAAAAAGGTCGGTTACCTGCAGACGTTGCGTAACGTTTCACCTCCTCGGCTTCTTCATACATGTGTGAAGACGTTTCCTGGTCTTCAGAAGAGCCGTTGCCATGGCGGACACGCCCGCGTGAACCACTCTGCCGGACGGGACGGGCTTGGGGAGGCTCACTGGTTTTGCGGCTGTCGGGGCCGGAGAAAGGCGACCGGACAGGCTCTGCCTGCTCGTACATTTCGACTGTGCAGACAGCAGGTACGCAGTACAACAGCCAACGTCAAGGCGCATTCATATACACATGGTGTCAAGATTAGTCTGAGAAGTAAGGCTACCTTTGCCCATATTTGGAGAGGTGACTTGGTATGACGTCTTGGGTATGGCATTTTGTTTTTCTGCAAGGGCCAGACTCATTTTCGTAGAAAAATAATGAATATGGGGTGTTAGGCAGACACAGCAAACAAATCTTTTCAAACATACGGGAGAACTCTCAAACTGATTGTAGCCTCGTGACTTTTACAGACATGTGCATGCCTTAGACCCCCCCCCCCCCACACACACACACACCCACACACACTCCTATGTGGTTACCGACATGTGGGCGATGCCTTTTGCAGTATGTAAGGTTGTTGTTTGTGCACTGGTTCTGTCAGTTGTACAGTATTGCGCACCTGTCTTAGCTAACATGTCAGACTCCAACATGCACAAACTGCAAGTAGTTCAGAATAGGGCTTGTACATTGTTATTAAAATGCACTCCTGATACACCTGCCAGGCAGATGCATATAGATCTTGGGTGGCCGACTGTGAGATAGAAATGTTCTTTAAGATTGTTACAAGTCAGAACCACAGAACATCTACAACTCCATTGTGCCTGTTCGTGTATCTCACATTCACAACTCCAGATCTTCTGCAGACAGTAACAGACGAACAGTAAGAAACGTTCATTCCTGTATCGTGCAATATTGCTGTGGAACAACTTACCATATCATGTTAAAACACTGAGTAACCTACTCAGGTTCAAAAAAGCTATTCCAAACAGTGTTACATGAGCCTCAACCTCTAGTTTTAAATTGTAAATATCAATTTGTGTGCTCATTGTTGATGTTCTGATGTATTTATGTCTTTTTAAATGTATTCACTGTATTTTCACCGTAGTTTCCATGTATGTGATTATGTAATTTTAATGTTTGAGCCTTGGAAGACTAGCCCGGCAGGGCTAAAAGGCTTCGAAATAAATGACAAAATTGTAAAAATTGTTTACATAGAGTGAACACAGCGGCACCAATACTCATGCTTTCAATTTTTTTCTTTCTCTAAAATATAATTCTTAGGTGGAACAAACGGTTTTAAGGACTAGATATCTTCTTTATACCTTTATCGATATATATCTTTATATTACACACTTTCACCCCAGATGGCATTCTATTTCGTACAACAAAGGTTGGCATTAAGAATTCTTGTCCTGTTCCAAGACGGCGGTTCGGCTTCGCTCGTTGTCCAGGTCACGTTTCAGAGCTTCTTGGTCGCGTTTCAAGAGGTCAACAGTAGCGGACAGTTGGAGCATGTCGTCTTGGTCGTGTTTCAAGGCGTATTGGTCGCCTATCAAGGCGCTGACAGTGGTGGACAGTTGGCCCGTTCCGTATTGGTCGCGTTAAACAGTTGTCGACAAATAAGATATTTCCTACCAAGGAATTTACGTACGCCAGAATACCAAACGTAAGTTATACCTTGTAACGTTACACAAGTCACATTGTATAATATTCCCATCATTCACCATTAAGATATCACAGAATTTTACATTCATTATGCAAATTAGGTCATTATTTGCATAATTTTTATCTGTTTATGTTCCACCTGCCGTAGATTACGTATCTGTATCTGTATCTGTATAGCCGGTATAACCGCCTTTCGGCGTAACAGCTTCGCAGGCACGCGGCGCGGCGGCAGCTGGCTATATTACACCGATTGACTTGTTACACCTAACCCTTGAACTTCTACATGTAGCTCAAGAAATTGTTTAAAGCTATCTATTGACAATGCCCCTACTGTACTTGGTGACAGTGAGTTCCACTCTGCAATAGTTCTAGCAAAGAATGAATTCTTGAACACCTCAATCCTTGGTTGATAACTCTGGTACTTGAATGCATGGCTATTTCTTGTTCTCTTCTGGGGTGGTATTAGGTACTTAGTAGTTGGGACATCCACCAGTTTATTAGTCATTTTGTACATCATGCATAGTCTGTACATCTTTCTTCTGTCTTCCAGTGAGGTCCACTGTAGGTTTCTTACAAGAATTACATACATTACAAGTATGAAAGTACTATTAGGTAAAATACTGTAATTACAAAACTTCCTCAATAATTATGCAAATTAGGTCTTTAGTTGCATAATTTGCATTTAATTATGTACATCTTTCTATAAGCAATCTACCAAAAGTGATGAAAATACGTTATTTCTTTCTGAACTTCGCTATAAAACTCCCCTGCAGTTACAGAACAAGCTGCTGGCTATGTGTCACAAAAGATTCAAGACCATAGCATGTTCAGGACAAAGGGTACAAAAACCGGACGTTCTGCAGTACCACGGTTAGCCACCAGGAGGCCCAGATTTGACCTTGACCTTTGTCTTCCTACGACCTACCAACATACCAAATATCATCATAACCCATAAAGGCGTTCTGAAGTTATGCTGACTACAAATGTGTGGAAACACACACACACACACACACACACACACACACACACACACACACACACACCAAAAACAATACCTCAATTTTTCATGTTAATTATTACTCATACACTTGTATAACTGAACTAACTGCACTATTATACACTATCCTTGTATCATCCGAACACAAAAACGACCACAAACGGAAACCATTGCTGGCCCAAATAAAATTTCCGTACCGGAGCAACTGCAACAGTCCTTTGTGCTAACGGCAGTGAAACAAAAACAGAAATTAACAAAACAAAATTGAATCCCGGAGTATTTGTCCACTGTACCTTCATGCGAAATTTAGCGGGGTTTGGATGACGAATGGCACAGATGGAGTCTTTTGACCAAATGACAGGATAAATCCAAGGACAATCATCAGGAAAAACAATATATTCCACTCAAATAGCTATACGGAGTGAAATATAAGAAGTGGAATAGCAACTACTAGTATTCAAAATAGATATTGATGTTGAAAATAGATATTTCTGTTGAAAGTGAGATATGAAATGCCCAATGTTCTGGCAGGTAAATGCGTTAAAATGATTTTTGCAGAATTGTTACTAATTTGTAAATTATATCATGCATATGAAAGTTCAGTTGTATTGGTACTTACGTGCTACAAAGCTAAACCTTTTGATCCAACACAATAAAGTTAACTCGCCAAGAGCTTTCTACCAGTCACTCTTGTCGTCCTCAGTAGACAGACCCAGTGAGGCTTGTCACGTGGCTTCTTTGAAGTCTGGCGTCAACACTGGGTCAAAGGTATCTGGTAGACGATGTCGGCCCCCGTCGCGGTTAAGTGAAGGGTGATTGGCCCTGACGTAAATAGCCTTTTTTTCTCTAATTTGTAAATTGGTAAGATATATAAACCTTGGAGAATGATAAACTGACTTGATTCTATTTACCATTTGCAGTTTTTTTTATTTGGTTAAAGTTCAATTAAAACTGATATTACTGGTGGTTGGAATATCATGTTTTGTTTTGTTCTAACATGCTCTGGGAGGGACATCTGCCCGATCAGTAGATGAAGTGCCATTTGCCTGTTGCATTTTTAATGCCATTCCGCTACTGAATGTTTCATGAGATACGATGATGGCAGCGTTACGCCTGCTAAGTTGACCATTAAGTTACTCTTAAGCCAAATAACATCTTATTCCCAAGGGGCACAGTAGGAGGTCTGTTTTTCACCCGAGCTGTCACAGACAAAGGTGTTGGAGGGTATTTGCGACGGTACGAGAGGTATCAGTTAGCTTACACCGCCTACGGACCAGTCATCCTCATAACACAAGGTAAATCTGTTCTTCTCATCAATATACCTTTTCTACCTGCATTATAACATCTAATGAGCTGAATTTAGGCTTCTTTTTAAATGTTATACATGATTTTGGGGACACCAAAGATGTCTGTTCTTCGTTTTCAAACGATTATTTTTTTTAACGGTGTCGCTCAATGCAAGGCCAATTATTTTGGCCACTTCTAGGCATAGAGCTAGAGGTACTTAAGTGAGTATAGTGTAGCTATGTCAGGAGATGGCGGTGGACCTTTGTTTTGAAGCTTTGTGGATTGTAGTCGGATGGAAAGCAGCTGTTTGGAAGAGAGTTCAATAATTTTGCAGTCCGGGGACAGACGCTGTTGTCAGTTGTAAAATGACTTGGGGACAGTTAACGGTGTATTGATGAGAACTGGAAGAGAACCTACTTACGTTCGTGGCCGCCTCTATTCAAAGCAAGTGGGTTAGGACAGATCTTGATTCACATTTTATTAATTTCTCAAGAACATTTGCAAAATCGGCATCAAACAGTGATGCAGAATTTTACATTTACAAGTTAAGCCATCTACTGTTCAGTTATCCCTTGTCTTACTGCAGCTGGCGTATTTCCCCGAGCATACCATACATGCCTGGCTGCCGTTTACCACTTGTTGTATGTCGGTTTTAAATCAGTGGCGTCGGTGGCGCAACGGTTAGAGCGTTGAACTCGGCACCGAGAGGTGCCGGGTTCGATACTCCCCGTGGCCCGACGTTGTACCCTTGGGAAAGGCACTTTCCACGACTTCCCCACCTATACAGTGGAGTGACGCCCACTGAGCCTCTTAGGCTAATCTGTCTAACTGTACCCAAAACACACTACGGATTTGGTGTGCCGATGTGACAACATCTGCACATTGGCCACTGAGAGCCGTTAAATTTCTTTATTCCTTTTTTAAAATTTGAGCTGTGTAAACGCACAAGAAGAGTGTGTTGTAAACATCATTTTATATGCGTCTCCCAAACGCAAACTATTTGTTTGAAACGTTGCAGTATTTGTAACGAATGTTCTGAATCACGTAATTTCGCAAAAATATTATTATCTATGAAATATGACATAGAATGTTATAATGTACAAATGCAGCTTAGCATAGAAAACCGTACTAGGAGCCTGGCAACAAAGCAGGATAGCACGAGTTTCATTGTAAAAACAACAACATTAATATGTTGTTGAAACACATTACAAAATGTTTCTTCCTTGCTTCGATGTGAGTGAAAAATGCCATGCGCAGTACCTACCCTTTATGAGGCTGGACATTTTTTTTCTATCTTTTGCAGCTTTTAGTCATTCTTTTTCGTTTGTGGAATTCATTTTAGGCAACTGTTACAGTTCAGGCAACGTTGTGACTAAAAGTACCAGGTAGGAAACACATTCATATAGATGTCACATCAGACCAGCTAAAGAAAGACACTAAATAGTCCAAGTGACGTTATCGCGTTTTCCTTTTATTATGTATATTTTGTCCTGGGCAGCCTATGGCCTTTATTTTTTTGGTGACTGGTAGCTTTTCAAGTCAGGAACCAGTGGACCAGGTGTGAGCTCGTCCCCCCCCCCCCAGCAGCTTGTTCATGAACAACAGGGGAGTTTATGGCGAAATCTCTCAAAGCGGATAAATCAAGAAATGATTTTGGGCATGTAGGTACCTTAGACAGAGAAAACACAATAACACAGTGACAATAGAATGCAATTATGTAAATGAGGCATTTGAGTTGCATAGTTAATGAGAAAATTTAAACTTCCATTGTTGTGCATGGAACAGGACCTTCATAGATGTGATGTAACATGAAAAGGTATAGATAATGTAGATAGAGATAATGTAACATGAACAGATATTAATTATGCAAATTATGGCCTAAAATTAACTCTAGCAAATCCAGATCACAAAATATCAAAACTATAGGTTCCACTGCAGTACAGGAGAAGGTCGTTAGGGGGTCCAAAATCTAAATCTAATCGTTTCTTCCTTACACCGACAACATACAAACTATCTTTACCATTTCTCCACACCGCCTCCGGTTATGCTGTTCATACACACTAACGGCAACCCTAAGGCTTATTACCTTCATGATATTTTTATGGCTTCACCACTATGTGTTGAAGTCATATTATTTTTCCCAACGTTTCTTCTTCTTCTCCTTCTTCTCCTGCCATTTCTTTAAATTGATTCAACTCCTTCATTTTGGGGCCAAATAACATGAAAATGTTAACAGAAAATGTACTATAGGAGTGTGTTACCATATTTGGGCATGAGTCATCAGAATGGCATGCAGAGCAAGCAACCAATAGGCATGCAGCTTTCCTCTATTCTTCTTGCTGATTGGCTGTTCGGATTTTAATTGGTTTAACTCAATTAACACCTGTCCAAAGCCATGCCATATTGACAGAGCACTATTCAAACCAATTCAAACCAATTTGATCTTCCTTTCCAGTTCGGCACTTTAAATTTTGAAGACGAGTTCCAAAATCAGAACTACGGGCTGGATGGACGTCCGCCATCTTGTGGGCGTGGTTCTGACGTGTGTAGGCCTGGCGTTCTTCCTCATCGGAGTCATCACGCCCGTGTGGGTGTCACACCAAGCGGGGATCTGGCCACCATGTCACTGGGATACTCCCGATGTAGCGATGGGCACGAAGGGTCTGTGGGAGGTATGTGCCGAGGGAAAGAAGGGAAAACTCCGGTGTTTTCATGAAAAGGAACAACCCAGCAGTTCGAATGGAACGGGACAGCCCGGCACTTCGAATGGAACGGGACAACCTAGCACCAAAGGAACGGGACAACCCATGGCCAGCACTTCGAATGAAACGGGACAGCCCAATAGCTCGAATGGAACGGGACAACCCATGGCCAGTACTTCGAATGGACCGGGACAGCCCAATAGCTCGAATGGAACGGGACAACCCATGGCCAGTACTTCGAATGGGCCGGGAGAACCCAGCACCAACGGAACAAGCCAACTCAGCAGCTCGAATGGAACGGGACAACCCAGCAAGTCGAATGGAACGGGACAACCTAGATGCTCTAGAGAACCCATATGGACATACATAGGTACGTGTTCTACCTATAGCATGAAAGTTAATCTGTGTTGGTAAAATATATAATGAGAATTAAACTGTTCAGGGTCAAAGTTCGTCGGAAGTCGGTACCGCCCCCGTCCCGGTTGAGAGAAGGACGAACTTTGACCCAGTTCTGACGTCACACGTGGGGAAAAATCACGTGTCTACAGCACTTGGGTCATAAACCTGATGAAGACCGAGCGGTTCTGTAGAAAATGTCGGGAAGTCAATTTTCTTGAGGTGGAGAACAGTTTAATTCTCTTTACAGGTACATTGTACGTGTTCCTTTCATAATGTAGGTGGTTACCCGATATGAATGCACTGTTCGAACACGAGCGACTAGCTCCTATTGAGCTCAGTGTTAACTTATTAATAATAGAACTGTTCCTTGGGGGATACGTATTCATATGGTCATACTACTTCGCCGCCATACAACTAGATATCGTACACGTATGACTCCAATGCTAATACCGTGAACTAATTTAGAAAATCTTGTCATAGAATCAGAGGGGCCAAGATTACACCACCAGATATCACATTATATCTATCCATTAATTTCTTTCAGATTATCACATCAATATTACTAATAAACTGTAGTCCTTAGTAACCCATCACATGCCGCCATGTTGATGTCCTAGATTTATATTTCAGTGGCCGTTACGGCAGTAAACAGTGTATTTTATGTATCTTATTGGCAATTTTCATGTATTCTTTTGGCATTATCCTCTCTGAGCAATGTGCATGGATTTGATAGAGGTTACATGACAGGTGTCCCAAAATAATCTCTTTAGCCGAATAGATTGGCTTTGATCCGGCTTCGATCCGGATCGAAACCGGATCAAAGCGAATCTATCCGGTAATCTTCAATTCTATCCCAGTGGGGAAAGGGCCTAAGTCTAAGGAGATTTACGTCTTGTCCTCCCAGGCGTCGGGTCGCGTCTAGTGGCGTCGGGTGGCGTAGTGGTAGATCATTCGACTATGAACCGGGGTACCCGGGTTCGATCCCGAGTCGTACCCGGGACATGTCTGGACGTGCGCCCCGACGTTGTGTCCTTGGGAAAGGCACTTTACACGACTTTCCTCACTCCACCCAGGTGTGAATGGGTACCTAACTTCGGTTGGGGAAAGTCGTATTGACGTCACCTTGTGGCGCCCAATGGCAGCCGCACAGACCCTTGCGACAGTTCATCTGATTGTAAACCCTGCATCAATTCAGCACTGTAAGGCTGCGATTGCACGGGTGATGTTTGGCCAATAAACCATTTGTTATTATTATTATAGGCTTGGGGAACCAGACCACGACGTTCCACGTGACGCGGTTCTCGGTGATGCTGGGTCTGATGCTCCTCCTGCCCGGCGCCTTCCTGGCAGTGACCGCCGCCTGCCGCGGAGAGCTGGACTCAGAACTAGACGGGCTGGAGATATTCACTACGTTAATCATTCTGGGAGGTGAGACTCAGGGTTCACTCATCTTTTCTATCATTCTTTATTTCATTCAATTCTTCATTCATTCATCAATCATTCCCATTCTTTATTCTTCCATCATGTGAGAGCTTCTTGAAATAATATGCATATATGTACAGACAACCATAAATGCACCATATAAAAGGCATATATATATTCTTTCTTTAACATAAACAAGTGTCCATAGGCGACAATTCTCCGTGAAGTTTTATATTTTGCAGATTGAGAACAGTAATAGTGTATGTAAACAGTGTGTGATCACTTAACAACTGGTATAGTATAGTAAAATTGGCTAAATCCACTTATTGGCCCCTTCTTACAGGCCAAAGACCGGTAATGGACTGTCCCATTGAAATGTATGAAAAACATGTAAGAAAGAAGAGGTGTGGCAAGTTACCTGCCTGAGTGAAACCGCATCAAAAGCACACATTCATAGGGTCACTCGGCCTCTAAACTGTCAATTTTGTTGATATAAAAAAATCCTATACTGCTATTTAAAAGGCATCTAAACGCTAGCAAAAACTTTCAGAAGTGACCTCTGACCTCTATCACCAGCTGATGATAGCACGGAAACTCAGGACTTCTTTTCTGGCCTGGACACACCAAACATGGCGCAAGCTCCTTTTTTTTACATAATCAAATGCAAATAACCTTTACCTATAACATACAGCTACAAAAAAGCAACAGATCCCAACATGAAGACATTTACACTGTTTTTGTACATGCGGTACCCACTTGGGCCCTCTGGGCATGCGCGTAATCCTGGCATTTGCCCTACATCTGCCTGAACTTTTTACTCCCCCCCCCGCTATTCCAAACAACGGGTTTTCTGGACCATTACAATTTGCCTCAAAATTGTAGGGGTGCATTTGAAATATTACATTGACCACGAAAGCAGCAAACGGCGAAAAATACATGCATCAACACGGGCATGCCCGCAGACGGCGTAGAAAAATTGCGTGCCGATTACACAAAGAGAACCCAGTATTTTGACTGCGAACACGAAAAAACGGCTCTTCACAACACTCCGTCCGGAAGTCCTGACCTCCATCACGGAGGAACAAATGACTAGCTTATATCATCAAAGCTAACCAATCATCAGAACTAGTTATGTCACACTACGCGTCCTTCGTTCATTCTACGTAGCACATTGTTTGTACGTCAGACAGAGCCTTCTCAGTTTTCTGAGTCTACTTTAATTGTATTATAAGAGACCTGTAAACATAAGTCATACTGTCAGAATGGAGCATTCACTACATATTTTCCCGAGACAACATGACTTAATCATGACAAATACCAGACACCGAGTCAGGACTAAGCCCTGAACAGATGCAGTGCCACGACCTGGATCCACTTTATTCTGCCTAAATGCTATTATCCGTTTTACAGTGTTGCAGAAATTGGTAGCGTGAATGAATTAATTAACGTGGAGACGGTCAGGCCTGAGGCAGTAGAACACAGTTCTCGCCTATGGGATTCTATAGTTAAGGAACCCAAAGTGAGAATAATATTAATCTTTAACTGATGTTCATGCCCACGGGGCTAAATGCATACATCAGAATGTGATGTTACATGTACATCATACTGAGTAACATGATACATAGGATACAAGGATAATAATAATAATAATAGGAAAGTAGTTTAGTCTTCTCAAACTGGATGGATTTTTAATCAGTAGACGTTTCCGGTGTACATCCGACACCTTTCATCAATACGAGTGAATATTTACAGATAATTTTTTACGGAACAAGAATTTTCAGAACCTTGTCAGTTACCTTTTGTTTTAATATTTAGAACCTTCTTTAGAACATTGACTGTTTTTGTTAAAACTTTTGGTCAAACCCAAAAAATTCTCTCACCTAGCTAGAGCTTTCAACCAGTCACTCTGGTCTTCCTCAATATACTGACCCAGTGAAGCTTGTCACGTTGCCTCTTTGAAGTGTGACGTCAACACTGGGTCAAAGGTATCTGGTAGATTATGTCGGCCCCCGTCGCGGTAACATGTAACTACCAACACAGATGAACTTTCATGATGTTTTTGTTTCTGTTTATTTAGAACTTAATCCATCCAATTTGAGAAGCTCGGTTGGGTTAAGGTGGCCTAGGCTTATATTCATGTTTGAGTACAGGCGTGTGTCTGCACGATGGCCACAGACATGTTTCGAACCCGAATCATGTTCCACCATGTTCGATATGACGTCATTCGAATAGAGCGCGTGTTCGAATTCGGGGTCACTCGCGGTCATTTGTATGTTTCCCCTGTAAACCCGCGTTGTTACGCATTTTATTCACGGACTATGACATAAACGGCTTTACGCGCAGCTGAAAACAGCATAATTGATCTTTAGAGTAATACCTGTTTACGTATTATCACTTTTTTATCAAAATTGTCCGAGGCTATTTTGCATATAATTCGATATTTTTTAACTGTGGCGATTTTTTAACGAAAAATGACAGAAAAATAGCTGTTTCTGTCGTTTTTGGCCCCAAAAAAAACAATGTAACTGTCATTTAACACAAAATAGCCTCGGACAAAAATAATAAATAGGGGGTTGGCTTTCTACTTGTAAAATATAATGATGAAAGGTGTTGTTACCGCTTGCGCGTAAAGCCATGAAGTAAACAGCTTTTTTTAACCAAAATGTTGATTTTTAACCCAAAAATCCAGAAGTAGTAAAAACAAAATAACCTTTATTCAATGTGTTTCAAGTACTACTAGAACTGTGTGAAGTTTAGTTGTGGTGCGACCAAGCTATCAAAAGTTACAGGCATATGTATGAAATACTACTCATAGTATGCCATAGGCTGCCTTAACCCAACCGAGAGACTAAACTACTTTATTATCATTATTATTATTATTACCCGTTGTAACCTTCACCAACGTACCGAAGTGAGAAGGTTCGACGCTATATATCTTACTAAGGTATACAAGCAAGTTACAAAGATTTCATATGTTTGGGTTCAGGGTACAACCTACAAAATACATGTTGTATGTGAAAATCACCAGCTCGTTTTCCTGTAAAACGCTCTATATATGGCGCTTTGTGGGAGTCATGTGAACTGCAGCCGAAGCACAGTACTAGGTCGTAACAGGATCCAGGCGCCAATTAACCCCGACCGAACAAACTTCCTGACTCAAATTATTACTCCCTGAAGAAGGTCATGACCTCCGGACGGAGAATTGTGAGTAGCCGTTTTTTTCGGCCAATATTTGACCTTGACCTTCGGCTTCCTAAGACCTACCAGCATACCAAATATCATCACAATCCATAAAGGCGTTCTGAAGTTATGCTGACTACAAATGTGCAACACAGACACACACACACTGTCAGACAGACAGACACACAGACGCGCCAAAAACATACCTCCATTTTTCATGGAGGTAATAAAAAAGGATATGTTTATACAGATATTGTCTTCAGTTAACCATGATGTATTAGAAAAACTCTGTAAATTCGTATACAAATGTCTAAAGAAGAGAGAAGAAACATGTAGAGCTTAGATATAGATAGAACATAGCATAGTTTGCCTAATCCTCTTTTTGTAACTTAAGAGTGCATTTAGCCCCACTGGGACATGAATATGCAATAAACTTCATTGTCATTGTCATTGATGACCAAAATGCCTGTTCCGTAGGTGTGTTCGGTGGTATCGGCGCCCTGTGCTACACATGTGACTACTTCCTGACACACACCACCACCCCGCTCGGAGTGTCGTTCTACCTGACCTGGATACAGACAGCCTTCACCGTGCCGGGCGGCATTCTCATCTGGCAGAAGTCCAAAGATGAACTGGTGTCTGTGTAAGACTAAGGCCGTGTTCATGTGAAGTCAGTGAAGGCGCTTTACATGTGGTTTACCCCGAAGCCGGTTTCAAGTGGCTCCATCTGAACGCTCCAAATCACATTGAAAGCGCCTTGATCCCAAACCACCTCTAGAGGTGGTTTCGAATCGGTTTTCCCGCATCGCGATTTGTGTCTGAACGAAATGTGATTTCAATGTGACTTCACTTGGTCATGGATTACGGGGTGATATTTCTTTATCTATATGCAATACCAAATTTTACGTCCCAGCAACTTAAAGAGCAGTAATGGTCAAATAATGTGTCCGTTCTAGGGCGAGCTTCACCGCCTCTGGGTGTTCACGTCGACATTCGGCCGATACGCTGGGAGGGGGGTATCAGCAAGCAGGTCGTTGACCCCTGATATTGATAACACGCTACGTTGCGTGTTTTCATCAAACAACAATGAATGCAGTTTCAGAGAATCGTGATCGGGCACGGTTTGAAAGGAATGTGTGGCACGTGGACCAGATGTGAGGAATGCGAGTTACCCGAATCGCGGTTTGGGTGACTTCACATGAACAAGGCTTAAGACTGCCTACAAATTTCTACCCTGGGTGCCAAACTAGTATCGGGCCGTTAGCCGTTTTCCTTCGGCAGCCAAGAGCCCTTCCCCCGCCTATCTAAATTACCGCTACGGGGGAGTTGAGCCCAGGAGAATAGTTCTAAGGCTGGACAAATTCTCCTGGGCTTAACTCCCCCGTAGCGGTAATGTAGATAGGCTGGGGAAGGGCTCTGGGCTGCCGAAGGAAAACGACTAACGGCCCGATACTAGTTTAGCACCCAGGGTAACAAATTTCTAGCCTGGTGTCCAGTCTTTCTACTCTCTCCAAGCAGATGTTTGGGTTTTGGCTTATTGTTGGTGTGTTTTTGGGCTAGCTATCTTAATTTTTTACGCCAACCCAGCAAAAAAAAAAAAAACACCAGAGCAAAAAAGAAAGCCCGATAAAAAAAGCCAAAAGCAAAAATAAGCCAAAACCCAAACCCCTGCTTGGAGCATACAGTCTCTCGTGGTTGTGGCCTAGTCTCGATCAGACTCCTTTTGCAGGCTGAATAAGTCGTTGTGCAGGCCTCGATAGCTGGCTATACGTTCTCTGGCCAATTAATACCCTTTTTAGACCGATTTCTACGATTTATTCAGCCTGCAAAAGGAGTCTGGTAGAGATTAACTGGCCGACCGGTGAGAGTGTTAGGCCTGTGATAGAGTTTTGGAGTTGATTAACCGCACCATGAAATCGTGTGCTGATTGAACTTCACAAAATCTACCAGGGAGCCTAGCTGAGTCGGGCGGGGAAGAGCTCCTTTAGCCCCGAAGAGAACCCGCCCCCACCGCGATAGACTGGTCACCAGGCTAACATATTCCTTCTTAATGCATCTATCTGGTGTTTGTACGTACATTACTGACGAATTTGCTTCTTTTTGGAAGCACTAGCTAATGAATAGTTCCAACATTTTATATAGCCTTATACAACATTTGTATCGCATGCCAGCTATGACATTAAAAATTACATATTTGATATCATTCGAGACGGACGTATTGTAATGCCTAATGGTAAAGCATGAAGAACAATGTTGAGTATTATATGAATAGCATAGGACATCATAATGTCAATGTCATTTTGTCGACGTAACAAAGCATAAAATGTACTAGAATTTCCAAAATGATTCAGTGTATGCTCTGTCAATACTGTAACATGAATAGAATAGAAGATGAACAACACTTTATTTTAGACTGTACTTTATATTCTAATGAAAGATCTGTCCTTTTTAATCATATCAAAGAGAAGTTCCCATACTTTGAACAGCTAAGCGCAAATGATAAATTTATATTTTTGATGCGTCTAGACAAATCCTGTATCACAAACATGATCTGTTCCCACATTTTCCATTGTACAAAAAAGCGAGAAGTTGACCACTCTGTATTAGCTCAGTAACTAGAACACTTTGTATTAGCCTAGTATAGTACCCTTGTATGTTCCTTATGTATGTATGTCTAAGTCAAGTAGTGCATCTCTTGTCTCCAATTTTCTATATACGTTTGTTATGTGTCTGTTATTATGTTGACCTGTACCTAGCCCGTCGTGGCATGAATGTACAATAAAGGTATTTCAATTCAATTAGTATGAGCTTGAATGAAACGCATGTAACGAAACTAATCTCTAAGCAGTTGTAACGACTCGGCTTGTCTCACTGTTTCTGTGTGTCAGTTTGCAACATCCATTTAGTTGTACGATTCCTATACCATCAATGAATATCTGTCCTTAACATGTACTTAATCATGTCCAGCACAAAAGATTAAAAAAACGGAAGTTATGCTGCAGTACCAGTGTCGGCCACCAGGAGGCGCAGATTTGACATTTGTTTTCCGAAGAGTTACTCACATACCAAATATCATTTCAATCCATACAGACCGTCAAGTTATGTTGACCACAAATATGCGAAAACACAGACAGACAGACAGACACACACACAGACAGACCAAAACAATACCCCCATTTTTCTTTTTTCATTTTTTAACGCCTCCAAGAAAAATTCCCCGCATATTATAGTAACCCAGGAGGCACCACAATACATTCCCAAGTCACCTAAAAACCCTAGCCTCCGTAGCAGGCTAATAGGACTGGGGGTTTGGTGGTCTTCGTCCGTTTTCTGATTAGCCCAGTTCAAAAAACGGGGGTAATTCAACCAGACCGACTATGTTGTCTCATGGACCTCCATGGTTGTCTATATGCAATCAGAAAATAGCACATAACAGACTATGAGGACCCCCCCCCCCAACCCCCCAGTTTTTGGCATGCTATGGAGACTATAAAAACCCAAACAAACGAGTCAAAGATTTTTTTTTGCTTATTTCCATCAATAGTCGTGTCACTACACACAGGAAAATAATACAGTTGTAATGGCCAGGGATTTGGGCCGTTTGCCGTCCCAAATTATTGTTTACGGTCGTCTTGAGCAGGACCTTCAATGCTTATATAAAGCGTGGCTGATAAAGACGGTCGGGTTAAACAGGTGGTCGCGTCTGGCCGTTGCCTTGACGACGCATGACGCGTAAAGCATGATGGGAGAATATCCAGTGCGCCTGCTCCCACCATTCCTGAAGGAAGTTTGATTTCGGCAGGACTGTTGTTCTGGGTTTTCTTGCTTAAGGTTGTGCCTTACACGTTATGCTGAAAATGAAGGTGAGTTCTTTGTTTTAACATTTTGTAGATTTTGTTGTCTTGACGCGACGTTATTCCCCGGCTGCATCGGAGGCAAAGGGAAATATGTAGGCTGTGAGAAGAGGGAGGGGGGCGTTGTGGTGGCCGGTGGTTCGTCTCTCACGAAAAATATACTTATGATCATCATGATGTAACGTTAAGGCTAGTAAACCTTTCCCAAAGACAAACACAGACATGTCCCAACTCCATATCTCCGTACTTAGTCATAGTCTCTTAGAATAGTGTCATTGTATTGACGATTGTCATAATTTTGCTAAGATTCACTAAGTACGAGTAATAAATCGTTATGATGTGTATCAAGCCGCAAGCGTCAGGGTAGATGCCACACATAAATTTGTACCATTATTATCGAGCAATAAAGTTCATTCTAACGTTAAATCCAATGGTCTTGTAGGAGGGCATGCATGATTATGAATTACCCAAAATTTTAGCCACCAATTACGAATTACGTTGAAGTCTCAGAGCTGATTAGTCGACTTTATGCTTTGCACACAATGTGCTATTTATTACAAATTACGTTGATTTTTTGGGAGGTTGCCTACGGATTACGAAGACTAAAAAGGCATGGTTACGCCCCAACGAAAAAGGGCATGCAGACCCCCTTGTAGCGAACTATTTCGACAGGCACACTACGGACCTAGTTCTTTCACTTGCAGTGACAAAAAGGTGTATGAAAGGGGCGCTAGTGTAATGGAAAATTATGAAAATTAACCTACCATGGTTGCCGCTGGAAGGCATCTTGTAAGAAACAGGAGGAGAGAGTAAAAACCCTTCTGGTCCCGGGCCAGGGTTCGAACCCACGACCTCCCGGGCACCAGAGCTTCATAACCAGACGCTCTAACCGCTCCGCTAAAAGGTCTAGACCCCTCGGCCGGGTCAGTTGGTAGCGCCTATATACCCCTCACTGTTACACTCTGTCTACAAAAAATCATGATCATGTGTTTTTCTACCTCCATCATGGCATAATTTACAAAATGACTATTAAATAGTAATAAACTGGTGGATGTGCCAACTACTAAGTACCGTATACCAGCTTATTAGGGCCCTGTCACACTTCTGCAAATCGTCTTGCATATGAGTTGTGTACAGACATTTTTTTCATCATTGCACACTTTATATGCATCTCAGTCATTTTGTGTAAGTTTTGGGGCAAGATTTCCTGATCCAGCATTGGAATGCGATACATGAACGCTTCTTTTTATCTTGAAAATCAACAGTTTGCATTTAATTTATACAATTATAAATCCTAACCAATAATGTAGGGGATAGCTATCCAACTGTTGTCACTTTATTCTATAGTTATATCAATATAAAGCATTGTTTTCCCTTGTGTTTCTCCTTTTCCCTGCCATGTTGTAAAATGTGGTGAAGCCATCCGCTACATTTGCTGCAAACCAAATATCGGCCTTTCTAATAATATTGGTGTTTTCCATCTCTTTCTAGCGCGTGTTTGGACTTCCAGAAAAGGCTCATGGCCCGGGACAGCTGACGTTTTGCTGGCAGAAAACTCTGGGCAACTACATCGCTACAACAGGGTGAGAATTCAATACAAGCAATCAATGTTTTTGTTTACATCATGTATATGCAAACTATTGGTAGCTATAGGCAAATTAGCCAACCACCATCCACTATTTGCAATTGTCACAAAACTTAAATGATAGGTAGCTCTTGGGCTAGGGAAGATGTGATATACATGTAAGTTTGGGTCCCCTAGCAGCTTGTTATTAAACTGCAGAAGTATTTGTTGAAAAATATTCGAAGGAAGATAAGTCAAGAACCGATGATTTTTGGTATGTGGGTAGCTTAAGTGATGCTTGACATATTGAAATGACAGTTATGCAAATTCATAGCTAATTTTGGTGTTTGTGGTTCTACACAGATCAGACCATGTGGTGAGGCTGTATGACAGACATGGTGAGCTGCGGGATGAGGTCAGCCTTCCAGGGTAAGACAGCACATCGGCAGAATACACTGCACCTGCACAAAACCTGTCATGTAATAATGTGCATAGCACCTTGCAGGGCTGGAAATACTGGGTGCATGTGCACCTTATATTAGTGCACCCAAAAATGGAGCTGTGCACCACCTAATTTTTTTCTTGTGGGTGCACTGATATTTTTGTCAGGAATTTTAAACATTACAATGTAAAATAGTATTCCGGATATTCTTGGTCTCTAAGAAAAATAATAAAATCTTTATCTAGTATACTTGTTTAAGATTTTGAAGTTAGCTCTCATTTTAAGATTCAAGCTCAGAAGAGGAGCAGTAAGTCGTACAATTAGGTTTTGTTTCATATGCACCCCAGGTTTTGTTTCATGTGCACCCCAAAAATTTTTTGTTCATCTAATTTTTTAGGTTGGGTGCATTCCCAAAAATGAATCTCGAGCCCTGTGGGCAATTCTAGGATTTTTCTTTATAATTGACTTGAGTATATATGTAACTGAAGGGAATTATCCTTCCATACTCTATACAGATATTTTTGCTTCCGAATTAATCCCTGAAAGTAACATCTCTAGTCACGACCATCCGTGAAACTCTCACGACCAGATGATGATGATGAGTCTCTAACACTTGAGAGTTTGCAACCTCAAATGGAAACAAGAAATAAACAGAAGTGTGCCCCCTGAAGGGTAGAGAGTAATGTTGCTGTGCTAACTGTACTTTAATTTGTACACTCGTGTGTGTAGACTATGTGGTGGTATGGACTGGGATAAGGATGGGGACACACTAGCCATCATTAATGACAAGACAGGAGTGGTGTTTCTGTGGGACGCCAACACCAACAGGACTACTCAACTGGACAGCGGGCTCAGGTTACTTTCCTTCATTATTTTACATATTAGTAATAATTATAATTATAATTATTATCTTTTCCAAGAAGGTTTTGTTTTTGGCAGCATTTGTATTTATGTGTGTGTCTGTATTTGGGAATTTGTGTATTATTGTTTATTATGTATACTACATATTTGGCATACTCAAACTCATGGACTTAGATGTACATGTAGTATGCATTTAGTATGACACGTGACATGAGTTAACAAAGATGGCAAAAAAACAACAACATTGAGCCAATTGCCTTTACAAGACTATTTACAGGCAGTATAAAACCAAGTATCCAAGGTCACTTAATAGTCTAGTACTAGAATCTCAAATAGGAGGACAGCCATTGTTTGATGAAGACGTTGAGAACAAGTCACACATATGATATTAATAAATAATATTATTGGTCTTTTTTTTCAGAGACCAGCTAACTTTTGTGTCCTGGTCCAAAGTGTCACCACTGCTGGCTATAGGTAAGATACCTTCTTTCACATTAACTCATACAGAAAACTTCACAAACCTTTGGAAACATCTGTATAATTATATAGGATTTGATTCTTATAAATGTTTTTGTATGTATTTAGGTTTTGTTCCTGCACTGTCTAACTATTGACCAATGTGAGCCAGAAACAAATATAGTAATAAAAAATAGTAAAAAAGATTTCACAATTGTATGCAATGTGGCATTTCGGATAATACTTTGTCTTGATCGAAATGAATTCCATTGCTGAGCAATGTGCAATAATAGTTAATTTGGTTAAAAAGTAACTGTGCTTTCAATTTCAATTTGCAGCGATTTTAATGTGTATTTTGGTGCTGTAGGGGTCTCAGTCATGAAATGTACCTGATTCTTGGTCAGAAAGTTTGCAACAAAATTTACTATTTGCTATACCTTTACTCCGGATCCATGATATCCAACAATGCAACATTACATGTAGGCTGTAGGTGTCTAGTGCCTCCCCTGAAAACTCCAACCTGTACATTTGTACTTTCTGTCATTTCTTCAGGAACAGCCAAAGGGAACCTCCTGTTGTACAACCACCAAACATCCAGGTAAGACTAAGACAAAGTTTACTTGTTTTTTTAATGGTTGTTAAACTTTAACTTGAAGATAGTTATTAAAGCACAAGTCATGATCAGTGCAGAGAAAGGATTTGGTCACTAAAATTTGGTCCAGATCCAGGCAACACACCTGAAATGCTTTCAAAAATCTTTTAAAAAGAGAAATACTGCTTCAACCAACCACCATTTCCTGAGTTTGTTTGTTTTCCTTGTTTTGTTGATTTGTTGACTTCCTCATATAATTTACATTTGTACTTTGTTCATAGTAGCTAGATTAATTAGTTTGATCTTCTTTATTTAATGTTCAGATTGTTGATTTGTATTGTTTCCGTTTAGTTCTTTGAATTGTTTCTCTTTTATTTCCTGTTATTTTGTCTTCTTCATTTAAATTTTGTTTCATTCAGTATCAACTTTTAATCTAACTTATAGTGTTGGGAAGGGCAATATATAAACCTCCAGGTTTCCGGCCCTCCCATGCATGTCTACTTAACTTCAATTGTTATATTTCTATTTTATCTTGTGAGTGCAAACAAACAATAAACAAAACAACAATGATGAGGATCATGTTACAAATGAGTGTGAAAAATGTAACTGATGACAAGTTCTTTTTTCTAATTACTAGGAAAGTTCCCATCCTTGGAAAGCACACCAAGAAAATCAGCTGTGGTTGTTGGAGTCAACAGAACCTCCTGGCTCTGGCTAGTGAAGATAAAACCATCACTGTCAGCAGTCAGGATGGAGATACCATACGACAGGTCAGTAACCCCCCTCCCCTCCCCCCACCCCCAACTGTCCTACATGACAGTCACTATCATATACATGTATATAAGGCCACACTAATTTAATTTGTTGGTTCTCGGATTTTTTTTAAAAATATGAAGCGACAGGGCAAAAAAATAAAAACAGGTCTAGGCATCCTGTTACAGCCCCAAATGCTACGATAGGAGCCATGAAGTCAACAAAAGGCTGGGTTGATATTTAAAATTTGAATTTTGATTTTTTAATCAAATCACTGCATTAATAGATGGAAAAACTGTAACAACTAGGAAGATAAAGACTTTCCTCAACTGCTGAGGGCAGCATTTTTGAGTTGATTCAGAACCACATAGTTTTTTTTTTTTTTGCAAATTAGAAAAAAATGAAGAGACGAATCCGAGAACCAACAAATTAAATTGGTTTTTCCCTAATAATGAAAATACTTTTTGATGACACCTCAGAGGGGAGCCTTAAATGGTACAGTATTGTGTGCAGTCTGCAAGAATTCTTGGAATTGTACACTCAGGAAGGTTTACATTTTGTTGATGTTACATGTACTTTTATTTGTATCTGTAAGAAGAGGGCCTACTAGTAGATATTTAGTTTTGACCAAACCAAAGTATATTTATTATTATAAATCAAACAAGATAAAATAAGAATTACTATTTGTGTCATTATTGAAGACAAATATAATGGTAGCTTTAATTTGTATCATGATAATGATTGTGACATTTAAATTTATTGATAGTATAGTGTTGGTTCTGAATGTCTGAGATCAAAGTAAGATGTGAAGTTAGGTCAGTTTAAGATGACCATTTGCTTTTTCCTCTGACCAGACCTCCATCAGAGCTGACCCTGTGGACCTGCAGTTCTCTGAGATGAAAACAGATGAAAGGAGCCCGAGTGGAGAGAACACAGTGAGTGTTGGCTTTACCTCACAGTGTCTTCTTAGTACATGCAGTGTTCTACATGACTTTGTGTTCTGGTGTTGTGTGACAAGTCTGTTGTTGTTTGACAGATCAGTGTTGTACATGTTTTCTGTTGTTGTTTGACAGGTCAGTGTTGTACATGCGTTCTGTTGTTGTTTGACAGGTCAGTGTTGTACACATGTGTTCTGTTGTTGTTTGACAGGTCAGTGCTGTACATGTGTTCTGTTGTTGTTTGACAGGTCAGTGTTGTACATGTGTTCTGTTGTTGTTTGACAGGTCAGTGTTGTACATGTGTTCTGTTATGTGACAGGTCATTGTTGTACATGTGTTCTGTTGTTGTGTGACAGGTCAGTGTTGTACATGTGTTCTGTTGTTGTTTGACAGGTCATTGTTGTACATGTGTTCTGTTGTTGTTTGACAGGTCAGTGTTGTTCTGGGAAAGAAGACGTTGTTTCTCTTCAACATCAATGATCCTGACAACCCGATTGAGCTTGCCTTCCAGCCTCGCTATGGCAACATAGTTGCATACAAGTGGTAAGGCAAAGTTTCTTTTGGTTGTATTTTCCATCAGTCACTGTGATTAGGGGAGACCATTTTAAAAAGACTCCATTGACAATGTGCCTTGCATTGTACATTTTGTACAGCCTCACAATCTGGAGTCAATTTGTGTACAATACTTAGTCTAGTAATTGTGTTTTGCAAATTTACACATAAGGCCATACCAATTTAATTTCTTGGTTAACGGATTCGCCCGCTTCATTTTTTCTTGATTTGCTAAAAAAAATTCATTATCAACTGCAAAATGCTCATATTGTGCCCTAAACAGTTGAAAACAGTCCTTTTCTTCCTAGTTGAATCTTTCAATGCAGTGGTATCATAAAAAGTTCAAAATTCATTGTTTAACTTTTGAACCAGCCAGGTGTGTTGACTTTGGACATTCTACAACATTTAGTGTTGTTTTTCTATTTTTGGGGGTTTTCATATCATGAAATTATATAACTGTTCATTTTGAAGCTGCTTTGAATAATTGACAGTTCGGTCAATAACTTTTTTTTTTTAATTGGATGAAAATTCATGCACGTGTGGATGTCATCCATTATGATATAAAAAAAACTAATCAATATGGCCTAAGTGCTCCAACTTGGTTGCCATGTACATGTACATGTACATGCACAGGTTGTTTTTTTGTTGCACAATTTTTATGACCTGGTTCTCCTGTGAATCTGCAGGTATGGAGATGGGTACATCATGATTGGGTTCTCCCATGGATTCTTCATTGTCATCTCAACCCACATGAAAGAAATAGGCCAGGTAAGAAAATATTATGTTACATTGTTTTGTTTTATATAATTATTATAATAATATGAATACAATCATGTATACATTTTTATGTCATACCTGGGACGTGATAATACTTGATATGCGTGGACTGTTTTATCACTTGGACTTTAAAATTGTGGTTCAAGTCCTGACATGCCACCGATCTTGTGTCCTTGGGAAAGGCACTCTACACGACTTTCCCCACTAGACTCAGGTGAAAATGAGTATTGTCTGTCCTGCTGTATTTGTTTCTTTGTGCGGTTCACAACACCAGCAACAGCTGCCTGTGTTCAGTGTGTATTGCACTGTTGCAATTTTAATAAGTTTCAATAATGGTTATAACCTGGGCCTCTAAAACTTTCATAAAGTGCATGATGCCTTTGAAAATGAGAATACCAGACTTGGACCTTGTTGTAAGTTTTGTTTAAGTTATTCAGTATTTTCTACAATTGTTTGTTCTAACCAATCACTGTCCTGTACAGGAACTGTTCCAGGCTCGGAACCACAAAGACTCGCTGAACTACATCGCTGTGTCTATGTCCTTAAACAAGGCTGCATCCTGTGGGGATAACTGGTTAGTATCTTAGTGTCTGTATATGTCCTTAAACAAGGCTGCGTCATGTGGGGATAACTGGTTAGTATCTTAGTGTCTGTATATGTCCTTAAACAAGGCTGCATCCTGTGGGGGATAACTGGTTAGTATCTTAGTGTCTGTATATGTCCTTAAACAAGGCTGCGTCATGTGGGGATAACTGGTTAGTATCTTAGTGTCTGTATATGTCCTTAAACAAGGCTGCATCATGTGGGGATAACTGGTTAGTATCTTAGTGTATAACATGTAACTTACCACTTCTTTACATTGAAGTTATGCATAGACATGGACATAGCAGATGTTTAACTCAAGTGCAGGAAGAGTTCAAAGGTCTCAATATTTTAGTATTTAGAGTAACGTAAATATTATACAGTCCAGGGATCGAAATACTAGGTGCATGTGCACCTTACTGCACCCAAAATTGGAGTTGTGCACCCAATTTTTTTTTGTGGTACTCGTAAATGACAACAGCTGCACTCTGATAACTTAATGGATAGCTTCATTTAATGATTTCCTCTTAGGCCACACCAATGTAATTTCTTGGTTAACGGATTTGCCCGCTTCATTTTTTCTGAACTACAAAATGCTCATATTTTACCCTGAACAGTTGAAAACAGTCCTTTTCTTCCTAGTTGTTACAGTTATTCCATCTTTCAATGCAGTGGTATCATTAAAACTTAAAGTTCAAAATTCATTGTTTAAATTTTGAACCAGCCTGGTGTGTTGACTTCATGGCTTCTATCGTACCATTTTGGGCCATAATAGGATGCCTAGGCCTGTTTTTATTTTTTTCACCTGGCAGCTCCTGGACCATTATTTTTCTAGAAAAATCCGTTAACCAAGAAATTAAATTGGTGTGGCCTAAAGGGGAAGTGTCCCACTGTGTTTGTGGTGTCCTAAACATGTTCCAGCCCTGGGCAAGTTTCCAAGGAGAGTTCAAAATGACTGACAGCCTTCCATTTTCACTTTTAGTTTGCAATCTGTTCATGAACACTATTTACCACTAACTATAAGACAAGGTTCACCCTATATGGTACACAGAGCGATACTTTCCTTACATTGTTTTCGTGTCCAACTCCCGTATCTGCCTAGTAGCTTGGTCAATTTCTGCATAGTAGAACTTTATCCCAAATGTGAGACCAAATCATCCCTTACTATACATGACTATACAGCATTCAAAATACCTGGTTGCCCAGTTGCCCCGGGAAAACCAAATTTTACTTGGGGCAACCTATTTTTGAACCAAGGTAGCCCAGTGTGCTACCTGAATTTTAAGAATGGCTTGCACCACTGTATCCGGCAGATGCTTTTTAATTTTAGGTATTAATGGCTATTACTAGTATCAGTTAACTAAATGCTGTTAGAAATATTGTCAAAGGCTTATGTATGTAACATTACTAATTTGAGGAAAGTAGTAACTTATATGTTGGGCAACCTAAAATTCTGATGGGCAACCTAATTTTTGCCGTAGGTTGCCCACTGAGCAACCTGGTTCAAAAAAGTATTTTGTACACTGCTGTACATGTAAGTTAAATTCATATATTGATATCGATAATACACATAGTTTGTAGTAATATTAATATTTTGTAGGATAGTTAAGTTTTGTTAACAGTAGTATATATATATAATTGTTGTTTTACTGCCATACATAATGTACCATGTACGATTGTTGAACAATAAAGTTCTTCCCTACAGTGTGAAGATCCATGACTTGTCAGAGTTGAAGGAAGTTTATGCCATCATCACCATGGAAGAGGAGCAGAAAGGGCTGGACAAGCTGCAGTGGGCAGACGATGGTCAGCTGCTGGCCGTGTCCAGTCAGCGGGGAGGTCTGGCCGTCTACCTGACCAAACTGCCCATGCTGAGTGACATCAACGGCACACGTGTGGCCTTCCTGACGTCCCTCCTGGAGGTCACCATCACTAATGGATATGAGCAGGTCAGAGTCCATTCTGTGCATCAGTTTAAATTTCTTTTAGTAGTGTGCGTAGTCCAGTGGTTTGCTACCCTGCCTTTGGACCAAGTGGTCGGGAGTTTGAATTCCGGCTGATGTCACTCACCCTACTGGAAAAGGTTGCATTTCTTAGGATGGGACATTAAGCTGTGGTCCGCTGTTTTTTTTTTTTTGACCTTCATGTAACCTTGAACCATACAAAAGTACGCTCTTTGGTATAAGCCGCGTTTCAAGAGCTCAATGAAAGGATGATCAGGGGTCTTAAGTCATTGTTTTTTATTGCACTTACGGTCAAAAAGAGCTGGAGGAATTTCCCTGGTACATGTAGAATGAACCTGTAAATACTGTATAGCGCCTGTCTTCTCTGTTACAACCAGTGGGACATTAGCTCTTCATTGAGCTAAAACTGGATGGAGGTCACTTCCATTTAGGCCATACCGACTTAAATTTATGGATGACATCCACGCGCGCATTGATTTTCGCCTGTTCTCAACAAAAAGAAAAGAAAAAAAAGATCACATCCCCCGAGGCTCTGGCCTGGCTCTAGGCCTGGGTAGTCCATGGTACTTAGCGACAATATGGGGGTGGTAAATCTGGAGGATGGCACCCAGGCTACCGAAGATCCACGACTCAAGAACTCAGTACATACATACAGTGTCGATTTTGTAAATTCCACAAAAAGCCAGCATGTGCCAGCTTGTCGTATACGTCGCTAAGTACTCTGTTATGACCTCACAAATTCACAATACTAGCTTTGTATTCCTGTGGTTCAGTAGCATTTTTATTTTTTGCCAGATTTTTTTTTAATTCGCCCGCACGCATTAGTTTGGGGGTCTTCAGAGGATGTCATCCATAAAATTAACTCGGTATGGCCTTACTATTGCTGAAAAAGAACAGATGCTTCTGGCTTGATGATGTAGCTGAATTAGTATATTTCTGTCCATGTACCTGTAGGAGCCCACCGTGTCCATCAGTATTGAGGTGGAGCCCACATTCCTGGCCCTGGGACCGTATCACATGGCAGCTGGCATGAACAACCGCGCATGGTTCTATGTACTGGGAGACAAAGGTAAGGGGAACTTCATGTTCTTCCAAACTTCAATTCTGTTTCTTAGGCCACACCAATTTAATTTCTTGGTTAATGGATTCACTTGCTTCATTTTTTTCTGATTTGCCAAAAAAAAATTCAGAATCAACTGCAAAATGCACATATTTGCCCTGAACAGTTGAAAACAGTCTTTTTCTTCCATATAGTTGTTACAGTTATTCCATCTTTCAATGCAGTGGTATAATTAAAAGTTCACCAGCCTGGTGACTTCATCATGAAGTTCATGGCTCCTATCGTACCATTTTTGGCCATAATAGGATGCCTAGGCCTGTTTTTATTTTTATTTTTTTTGCCTGCCCGCTCCATTATTTTTCTAGAAAAATCTGTTAACCATGAAATTAAATTGGTGTGGCCTTAGGCCTAGGATAAAAATGTTGTGTTTCCTGCTTCCCGACAGACCATAGAAAAACCTGACGACCCTAGTCATTTTTTTATTGTGAATCCCAGCAAGTACACACTTTTTTAGAACTGATCAACATTTTCTACAACCATGATCTGACACCTGAGAGATGAAACATTGTACAATCGGTTTTCCAGCATTGACATTGAAAATACAAGTGTCCCTATGCAAGTTTTACTTTGTTAAAGTGTATTGTATGAGTTGGATCACTAGCCAAAGTAAAAAAAAAAAGAAAAAAAAAAGATAACCCCTACCTACCAACCCTAATTTTTTCAGCACCAAGAAAAGGGATGGTACATGATAGTTCAGGGTGGGGATGGTCTTTCAGCACCAAGGAAAGGGATGGTACATGATAGTTCAGGGTGGGATGGTCTTTCAGCACCAAGGAAAGGGGTGGTACATGATAGTTCAGGGTGGGGATCTTTTAGCACCAAGGAAAGGGATGGTACATGATAGTTCAGGGTGGGAATGGCCTTAAGCATCAAGGAAAGGGGTGGTACATGATAGTTCATGGTGGGGATGGTCTTTTAGCACCAAGGAAAGGGATGGTACATGATAGTTCAGGGTGGGGCTGGTCTTTCAGCACCAAGGAAAGGGTTTGTACATGATATTTCAGGGTGGGGATGTTCTTTCAGCACCAAGGTAATGGATGGTACATGATAGTTCAGGGTGGGGATGGTCTTTCAGCACCAAGGAAAGGGGTGGTACATTATAGGTCAGGGTAGGGATGGTCTTTCAGCACCAAGGAAAGGGGTGGTACACGATAGTTTAGGGTGGGATGGTCTTTCAGCACCAAGGAAAGGGGTGGTACATGATAGTTCAGGGTGGGGATGGTCTTTCAGCACCAAGAAAAAGGGTGGTACATGATAGTTCAGGGTGGGGGATGGTAAGTGTGTTGTGTGGCACTCTTAAATAGCTCTTTAAAAACCCAAAAAGTTTAGATTGTATGCTGTAGCATTATAGAATGATGACTTGTTCCACTTGTACAATCATGTATTTTCAGGTCCAGAGAAGTTGAAGGACAAAGAGTACCTGGGAACCATCACCAGTATGAAGCTGAATGCAGATTATGCTGCAGTCATGTTTGAGGGGAAAGTCCAGCTGCATTTGGTAAGTATTTTCTGATGCTACTTTTTTATAATTTCTTCCCATTAAAACTATGTCATTGAAAGAGACTTGATAAGTGCTAAATTTGCAGTTTATCTTCAAACTTACAGTCATGTTATTTATGCAATTGAGGACCTTCTTTCCATTATCAATGAGAAAGTTTAAATAAAAAACATTTATAAGAGTTAATATCATTTGGCAAAGGTATGAGATTGCAGATCTCATAATCCATTTACAGTCTTATGACTATTATCTTGACTTTCATAAGTGTATACTACAAAGCTTGCAAAATTATTGTTTTAGTGTTAGTAGTAATTCACAATTTTTGCATTTTAGGTTCACGGTTTTTGCGTACCGCAAACTTATCATAACCATGAAAAAATAATCCGCCGATTTCTTTCTGCACCTGACACCACTCTGTACATATCCTGTAACTGTTACAGTACATGTAGTGCTGTGAACATGACAGTGCCCATTTTTCCAGACCACATACTTCTGCTCTCATTAAGTAAATTACTATAGATACAAGAAAACAGCAAGCTATAATTGTAACCTGGTACTGTGTCTGCTGACAAATGAACAAGGAAGGAAAATTCTGCCTCCCTAGCAGAATCCCAACCTATAGCTATCAGCTTCCTGGCTGATTTGTACAGTCATGTATGTGACTGTTTCATGTCAGTCTGTAATTTAGAGAAGAGTCATGAACTTGTACCCTGTTGTTTCACACAGGTGGAGACTGAGGGGATGGAAGTGAATGAAGAGAGAGAAGCCAAACTTTTTCCAGACAAAGATGGCAACAGTCGCATCACCTGCCATGACCTCACCAATGATTTCTTCATCTACTCCACTGATGTAAGTAGTCTGTACCATGGAGACATGTACTTACAGACATGCTTCAACTTTGAGACTCTTTTTGCACCACCATGTCTTTTATTCACTCACTCACTCACACTCACTGTCCAGTTTATCGTCTGTTGTTCCCCGTCTTCCTAGGGTTAGACGTGCTTGTACAGTACAACTGGGGCTTGATGGCAGCACGCCACTTGTCTCTGTCCTGTGGGTTGATCTTGTCCAAGTTCAGGTGGTGGAGGTCCTCCCGTATGTTGTCGTACCGTTTCCTCCTAGGGCGGCCACGGGGGTTTGGACCCTCCACATCTAGTGTGAGGATCCTCTTTGGCCATTTGTCCCTGTCCATTCTCTGGAGGTGGCCGTACCATCTCAGTCTGTTGTAGCTTACTGTGTCCTGGATGTTGTAGACTCCAAGCCAAGTTTGCAGCTGTTCAGCAGACATTTTGGTGACTGTCTCTCACCTTCCTCAGGGCAATTCTGACTTTAGATTATCTAGACTAAGTACACAGTTGCAGGGAACAGTATATACAATGAGGTCCCAAACGTACAGGGGCTAAATTATAGAATATTGTACATAATTGTTGCCAAATGAAGAAAACAAAAAACAGCCTAGCAGCCAGCCCATCAGCACCCTAACCGCTTGGCCAAAAGGTCTAGGACCCGTCAGAGAGTCAGTTGGTAGAACTTGAAACCCCACTTATCATGAAAGTTCATCTGTGTTGGTAGTAATCATAGTAAAAAGTTGAACTTTATTCCAACACACAATTTGGGGGATCAACTTTTCAGCGACCACTGTCGCCTTCATCAGGATAATTAATGACCAATCACTTCACAACGTGATCTCGCGAGAGTTACGGTTTACCAACACGTGACCTTATTCACACAAGACTTTACTGATACGTGACGTAAGCAATTGATCAAAAGTGCCAGGGAGTTTATATCGTCCACCATCGATATCTCTATTTAGTGAAGGCTGAAGTGCTCCATGGCCTCCTTAATGCCTCATGAAGGCGACAGTGGTCGCTGAAAATTTGATCTCTCTGTAAACCGTGTGTTCGAATAAAGTTCAATGTTTTACTTTGAAACCCCACTGTTACACAATCATGTAATGTTTTCTAACATAACCTTTCCCTTTATTTAGGCGGGAAGTCTTCACTTCTTTTTGATTGAGGACTGGAACTTTGTGAATGAGTACCGTCATGTGGTGGGGATCAAGAAAGTGTTCCCTGACTGTGGAGGCACACGACTGGTCTTCATAGATGACAAGAGCGACGGCTTTGTCTACAATCCTGTAAGTCAGTCATGGTTCACTTCATCACACTATACAGGGCTCGAAATTCATTTTTGGGGAATAGATGCACTGGTGCACCCAACCTAAACAAGACTGGCAATGAAAACATACATTGCCATGGTGACGGTGGTTGCTGTTAGGGTTATTGTTTGCATGGCACTGCCATCATTTCATGATTTTGAGGAAGACTTGGTACCTGTTAAGTCTAGACGGATACAGTGCACTCCTCCCCTGAGTGTATAGCGAAGGAGCCCCGGGGTCACAGAAAGTAGGGCCATCCGGGGCAGAAGGGTTTCCAGGAATGTGGGCATAGATGTGGGTCAGAGACATGCCTGTGGACATTCCGCATGCCTGTGGACAAAATGCCTGTACCATTCCTAGAATTCTTGCAAATTGCACACAATACTGTACCATTAGGCTCCTCCCTGAGACGTCGCCAAAAATTGGGTGCACAAAATTTTCTGTGGGTGCACCATATACATGTAAGATACGAGATGAAATAAGTAGACTGTCAGCGAAAACTAATCATGTACGAAATCTACTGGATACTAGCTGAAATGTCTGACGTTTCCAAAATCATATCCAGTTGCTTGAGTAACTGCTTTTTGGCACATCGTATTACCTGGATGTCTAACCTTCATCGACGCATTCTTGTAGTACTTATTTTCTTAAGAAACATGTTTCTTAAGAAAATAAGTAC